GAGCACAAGTAAGCGAGCATGCCCTTATCGGTGGATGCGGTGTGACTGGCCGTGTGAACTGTCTACCGTGACTTGTCCACTGTGACTTGGACCTGGAAGCAGATGCACACCCCTTTTTTCTCTAAGCTGCTTTTTATCAAAGTTTTTACTCCAGCGGCAGAAATGAAACTCAGGGAGTTATTAAATATATCTCACTGAAACCCAGCCAAACACATTTCCTGTTTTTCTGATAGAGGCAATGAAACGATGGCCGAATAATTACGGCTAAACACCCACATTCGCCAAGTGTGTTACGGGGTAGTCTTGCCAGAACCGTCTAACAGTTTCCACTCCACTTTAAAGACACCTTTGCCTCTCATCCTGAGATTATTTTTTTTCCTCAAAGAATTCTTAAAAGAACCAAGAATACATTAAAATTTTTTAGGTGCTTAATCAAAACCTTTTGCCTTCTCTATTTCAAATTCACGATCTGAAAATTTTCAGAGGGAAATATTGTTTTAAAAGTAACAGAGGCAGGAGTGAGGACTACCTGAGTGAGCCTTGGAGTGCTCAGGGGCCAATAGGCTCCGGGCAATCTCTGCAGAGTGACTGTTGACTGAACTGTAATTAGGGGCTTAAATGCTCAGGCGTTTTGGAGACATTTGTTTCACACTTAGGAGACAGTTTCTTAAGTGAATTTCCCTGGTCAGGTGGAAGTTAGACATGGGCTTAAGGGAATGTCAGAACAAGACTTAATGGCTGGATTTTAAGTCACCAAGAATAACAGCCCACTTAGCAGTCATAGGAGTAATAGTCTTCTGGCTTTATTTGCTGTTCATTGTGTTTTAAGTTAACTTTTATTTTTGTTTGTAGGAGTGGGAAGAGGGTGAGAAGGTAGTTATTTGTGTGTCCTGGTGTGTGTATGTGTGAAGATAAATAGTTTAAGGTTTGTGTCCTATGATACTTTAATAAACTTTGTTCATTTTTATGCCCTGAGGAAGGAATAATTTACAAATTTTTGTAGTTCTCTAAACTCTTAGCCTTTGCTTATCTGTCCTTTAAGTTTTGTTCTTACACTTCTATTCAGGGTTTTTTTTTGAGGGGTGTGTGGGGGAGTGACTGTTGAGTTAACCTGCTTTCCTTTATATGACAAAATACCCGAGACACACAGATGTAAGGAGGGAAGGCGTATTTTGTTGGCTGGTCTCAGATGTTCCAGTCCAAGGTCAGCTGGCCCTGTTGATTTCAGGCCTTTGGTAAAATACCGTTGTGGGGGCTTGGAGTGTGGCATAAGGTAGAGCAAACTTCTGCTTCTAGAAGCCAGGGAAAAAGGTGATAAGAGAACTGAGGGTCAGAGTCTCAATATCCCATTTCAGTGAACACTAACAGTAATCTCAATTCAGCTGCTGCAGGGTTCTCCAAACGGTGCAATAAGCTCAGTATCCAAGCCTTGTCCCATGACCTTTCAAGGACTCATAAGCTCAAGTCAGGGCATGTTAATGCCTTATCAATTAGCATTATTATTATTTTTTTTTACAACATCGATGGCTGTTTAAAAAGAATTTATTGCTAGTATCATAGAATTCTGTAGACATTTAAAAACAGGTAAAGGAAAACAGTAATACATCCACAACTTCATAATTGGTATTATATTTTTAAAAGCCCGATCATCAACATCAGCAGTGGCTGCAGATCTCTTGCTGTGACATCATACGTTTGGTCTATCCTTGCTTTAACAGCCATGTGACAGTCCCTTAGGACTACACACCTGATTTATTTAGATACATTGTGCCATAGGCTGTTTATTGTGCAGCTTATGGACATAAAAAAAAAAAAATCTGTGCTGTGCACTGCTTTTATGTGACTTTATGCATCTTTGAAATTGTGGGGTAAATTAGTTCTGAATAGTTTTAATATTACATGGCATATAACATTTTTTAAGACTTTAACATATGACACCCATTTTCCATGTACCAGACTCTGGATATCAGTTCTGTGGCATGTGAAGATGCTCATTTTCTCTATGAAAAATGATTTTTAAAGTATTGCTCTCACAAACCCAATTTCTGTTTGTTTGTAAGCTAGACATCGGCCCTACTAATAGAGTCTCAAAAAATATAAAGTATTTTTATTTTATTTTTTTATTTTTATTTTTTTATTAATTACACTTTATTCACTTTGTATCCCCCCATAAGCCCTCCTTCCTCCCCTCCTGATCCCACCCCCTTCCCCCTTCTTCACACATGCTCCTCCCCAAGTCCACTGATAGGGGAGGTCCTCCTCTCCTTCCTTCTGATCTTAGTTTATCAGATCACATCAGGAGTGGCTGCATTGTCATCTTCTGTGGCCTAATAAGGCTGCTCTCCCCTCAGGGGGAGGTAACTCTTATCTGAATTAACAAGACATTGAAAGAACTCCTGATATGCTAAAAATCAAGATGAGAATTCCGTTCTAGTAGATGATGAAGAAAGCTGAAATTGTGGCCTTGTCCCTGGGAATGTAGGTTAATTTTAACCGCTCCACAGGTGACTGAGGAGAATGAACCAATCCAGCTGTGATGAGATGTTGCTAACAGCCCTAGTCCATCACTCCGGAGGAACTGCACACACAGTGAGAATATAGACCAAGCCTGGGGATATGTTCCACAAATAAATGAGAAAATGCAGCTCTGTGCCTTTAACTCGTCTCCACCTTAGATGAATGGGGGAAATCATTTTGGCGGAGAATTGACTGCTCCGTGCAATTCATAGTACCTGCACAGGACGAAAGCATTTAAACTAAGCATTGTACTTTAAAGGTGTCCTGTGGGTGACTAGCCAGACTGTGAGGCAGTCACAAACTAAAGTTTTCTCTTGAAGAATGTAACCTCACCCTGTGCCTCAGGGACCCTCCTGACAGTATCTCATACAAACAATCACATGCAGTCAAGTTCATGCAAAGAAAGAACCAGGAAATCATAGACAAAATTGAAAAGCAAAGTAACATATAAAATAAGCATGATTAAGGGGAAAAAAAGCAAGAATATAGCCTTAAAATATGATTGGGAAATAATGAACTGGGATTTGAAAAAAATACACATCAAAATATTAATGACAGATGCACCTTTAAAAAGGGAGAGAGAGAGAGACAGATAGAATGACAGTTAGACCAGCAGCTGAGTTCTCCACTACAAGAAAGGAAGCCAGAGTCTGCAGAATAATGCCTTCAAAATGCCGTGAGACAGCCTGGAACTGTGTGCTCAGCAAAACTGTCTTTCAAGAAAAACATTATTCCACTGAGAAGCTAAACAAAGTTAAAAGTTGATTCTTTACGAAGAATATCACCATTAAGAAACTGAGAGAGAGAGAGAGAGAGAGGCAACAAAAATAAAGGCAAAAAGACACACAACACTGTGAAGGTCAGCACATGGCTATCAGATAAAGATAGATGTCAGTTTGAACAATTATCAACAACTATTAAAAGGGGTTAATCATAGTCTAAGTAAGTGAGAAGCTTGTCTTGGAACCCGACATGGGTTTTCTGATTTATAGTAGAGCTGACAAGGTCAAAAGGGAGAGCACAGTAAGGTGATCTATTGGATTACACGCTGCCCTTGTTTTTTAGTGTTATTACATAATTTTGTATCCAGTGATAAATACATTGATCGATGTCCCAAGTAATTAGACCAGTGAGCAGGGGGAAATTCATAGGCTACGAATTCATTTGCCTATGGATTTGCAGGTCAAATCCAAGAGCAAACACTAAGAATTGATTAAATTTTAAAAGTTATGAAACTTGTAGGTAATTATTGTTATTTTCTCTGAGAAAAGAACAGTTTTTTATAAAAGGAAGATTCACAAAGTATAATTTTCAACATGCTTTCTGAACTTGAGACCATTGAACTTGCATATTACTGACGTTTACATGAATGAGATATTATATGCTTTCCCATGTTCACTGATTTGCAGTTTTGCTGAATTTTATAGCTACAACATAGATATTTTTCAATGACTCTGAGTAGGCCACTTGTGGATACATGTGAAGGTAAGACTAGTGTGGAATCAAAGGAGTCATAAACCTGAGACCTTCAGCTCTAGTGAGCAGTCCTGACAATCAAGGCACGCTCTGCCTTGGAATCCAAATGGGGGAAGCTTGTTGATTTTCCTACAGTGTTACTTTCCCTTTTATTGTTTATTATAAATTCAGAGAAGACAGATAGGTAGGTAGATAGATAGATGGTAAGTAGGTAGGTAGATAGATAGATAGATAGATAGATAGATAGATAGATAGATGATAGATAGAGATAGGTAGATGATAGATTGATAGATGATAATAGATGATAATGATGATAGATAAATAGGTAGGTGGATGATAATAAATGATAAATAGATGATAGATGATATAGATAGATAGATAGATAGATAGATAGATAGATAGATAGATAGATAGAT